GTCAGTCCGCTATACTTACATTCTTATCTATTTTTATTTTATCTTGTGAGATATTGTTCATATTAATTTATGAAAGGGTAAATTGCAGATAAGCCCTTTTCTCTAATTATAGTTGGTATTTATCGCTATTCGATCAACTTGTTTGCTGACGTTTATGGTCTCCCAATTTGAGGGGGCCGGGTGAGATGCAGGTAGCGGTCATTACCTCAGTGTGCATGTGTGTGTAGGCTTTCTACACATATTCTGCCCATGCATAGAGAAAAGTTGGTAGAGTTTGCGCATTTGAATCACCGGGCAAAACTCCTTTGGCAGTAGGCTCACTCGTAAAATATCGCGATGTAAGAGTGGCCGATCGACTGCTGCCAAAGGAGATTTTCCCTGTAATGCATCCGCGCATCGAGAGATGTTTCTGAGACCTATCGATCTGTTTTTTTTTCGTTTTCTTTGCCCCCCCTTTTGTTATCATGTGATGAGATACAATTGAGTGTTCAGTTCGTGTATGCATATATATATATATCGACATAAATGCTCGGACTTGGATGGCATATTCAAGCTACAAATTCGCACAATCCCAATTGCGCGCGAGGAGAAACTGACAGAGCGTGAAAAGAAGAACGCTCGTGGGCATATTCTTCCATCTGTGTCGCATGGAAGTGAAAGGTGATCATGATTCTTCGGTTATACGCAGAAGCTCGACACTGCAATTAGCATCAACATTAATAAGATGTAAACAGTCTTTGATAATATTAATTAATCGTGAAGAATGAATCAGATCTTTTGATTCTATCACATATACTCTGCTTTGTGGGTTTGCATGGCTGTTATGATAATAAAAAGAAAAAAAAAAGGGATTCCCTCCTTTCAATATCCCAAGTGGCTTAATTAACTTGACACAAGAAAGTGATATATAATCTTAGTAAAAAGAGATTAATTAAGGAAATAATGTGACGTTGAGTCAAAACTCAATGAAAGAGATGGCGAGGACCATTCTTCGTAGTGGAAAACAGAATGAGGAAGAGAGAGAAAAGGTGACAAATTAAAGGGAGGAATTAGCTCCTAAGGAATAGTCCATGGATATCCTATAGCATATCCAGGGTACAAATATTTCTCACTTGCTATAAATCATGCATAGGACATACAAACTATGAACTCGAGCCTCGATCAACATATTGGCACATGAAGGGGAAGAAGATGATGGTAAAAGAATAACAGGATGGTTCTCCTTTGGCAGAGACGCTAGATTGATGCCGGTGGGTGTCAGTTCATCTGTATATATATCGATCGATCCCTGCCAAAGGAGAATTGCCCTGCTATTCGATTCCTTATTGGATATTTATAGTGTTGTTATCTTCAGAAAACTTGATGTGAATCCTTGCAGCATAATGCATCTATGAGCTTGGGAGCCTGCCACAATTTACTGAGACTAATTTCAATTAATTCATGGTAAAATTCAGTCTACCCTGTAGAAATGTAATGCTAAGGGAATGCTCTCTCAAAATGAGCCAATACCTATCCGAGAAATCTAGTTGAATTTTTACATACAAAAGCTGTGATTTCAAGTTTGTAATATTGTGTTTTTTCGTTCCTAGATTGAAAATGAATACGAAATTACAATTTCTGGCCCTTAAATAGGACTGCCTAGAACCCTTCTTAATTAAAAGTTTGAGCTTCTATTTGGCAACCCAATAAGAACCATGATAGATGTGGACTAGGGGTGCAGGGTACAAAGGACAATTTAAATTGATGCACAGGGGTGCAGTTTGCACCCCTGATACATGTAAGTCCTTAAAATATTCACAATCTGTCCCCTTATAAGTCTAAAAAATTGCACCCAAATCTTTCTAAAAACACTAAATAATAGTAGCAAATTAAAATAGCTCATAGGAAAGTAAAAGTTATTTAACTTTTCAGTAATTAAAGTCACCTATCTTTATAATATTAAATTTTTATTTTCAGTTAAATATGTAGTTGTTATCCGCCCCTCCAAGAGAAATTTTCTGGGTCACAACTGGCAGAGTGGACAAATTCTAGCCTAAATTTAGGGATAAAAACGAGCTAACAAAAGCATAGGTGGGCCTACGTTAAGAAGAAGTGGTGCCACGTGATAAAACTTTCATCTAAGATATGACTAGTAGTGCTGCTAATGATGCTACAAGGTGTAGTTTTTACAAATAAAGAAGATGCTTTGCTCGATGATTGTTTAGAGACCTACACTGAAAAAGATGAATTTGATAGTGTTACTAATTATGTGATTATGAACTTTTTCAAGATATGAAAACTTGTCGAGGTTAACTGCAAATTATTTAATTATTAATCATGGGACGATAGTACTTTCTAAAAATCTGGGATTAAGGGTGTTATTGGAGAGAAAAAAAAATATCCCTTGGAGAAAAAGTTTCCGTATACTAATCTCTCATAAATAAGCTTACTTCCGTAGCTCTTTTTAACTGAACTACAAGGATAATAACAGTACTATCTCGTGGGAGAGCAAATACTAAACATGAAAGAGGACTCTCCTTGCTGTAATAAAATATCATGTACATAAAGAAAACTAATTGAGGAAAATAAACAGCCCACTCAAACAAAAGGAAACAGTTTTGACTCCATAAACTGTTATCCACCTCATTTACAACTTCCTCTCTGCTATAACCCCTCTTAATCTTACTTGTAACAATCATAAAGAACACCCATCACCTTCAAGTTTTTATTTTCATACTTGAATTGATAGAATCCATGTATGCCTTTATTATTGACCAATAATTGATTCCTATATGCAGCAAAATTCTAAATATCCTACAACAATCTCACAAACAAAAATTAATACCATTTAAGATTTATATGTAGAACAAACCAAATGCCTTTTTCAGCATTGGTATGAGTGCTTAAGGCTGTAATGCGACCAAAGATTACCTTCTCATTTGAGTATGGGTGACGTTTATAAGCTTTTAACTCATTTATCAGCATTGGTCCATCTCTCAGTTCATCAAGGGGTAAAAAAGAGTTAAAAGGGATAGCTTTTTGGGGACCACATACATGAACACACTCTTCAATTGCTGGTAGAATAACATTGCTGATAGAACTATGAAGTGTCCAACAAGAGCGACACAAAACATCCAACAACACCTCATACATACAAAGACCGCGTACACCCAAAAGTATTCCAAACATCCAAAATGATCAAAAACGTTCTTACTAACAAGAATGCAGGCTACAATCAACCAAAATACATGGTCAACAAATCAAACTACAATATGAACTGAAGTACATGTAATGGAACATCCAAAAAGTTTCTATGTTGATCACCCTTATATGATCAGCATTGACAGAGTTAAAGCGTAACAATTACACGGATATAAGAAAAGGAATACATCCACCCCAAGTAACGAAACAGAAGCGAATATTTCTTGTGCATCTTGTAGCCACTAACTGGGCTTAAATTTCTTGTGCTACTTAGACCTAGGAACCACCCCAGTTTACACAATTGAACCCCAAAGGAAAAGTGAGGCCTTCCTCAAGATAAGCATGGCAAAGGTCGAAGAAAGTTACTCCGTTAAACCACCTGAAGCAATCACTTTGTTAATGTGATCTCTCCATCCCACTGTATAGCTGCCACAAGAAAAAAAAAATAAGACCTATATTGTCAACAAAAGTTTGTAAAATTCGAACTTTTAACTTGACAAACGTCATAATCTTCAGAAGGACTCATATCAATTGAAGATAATGCATAGCACGAATAGTTTCCAAATGATAATCAACTCTTCAGCGAAACTGAGTAAACTGAAATGCTTTCACCACTGGCTTTTATGTGTCATCAAGATTTATTGAAATGAAGCTCATACCATGATTATTGTCAGGTAGACAAAAACTCACCACAAAACAAGCGTAAATAAGTACTCTTGATGCCTAACGTCTGAATCTTATTTGGTATCAGCAGGGTGGCGCAATTAGCTGAAAATACCAACAAATAGAAGTAGTCTTTTGCATTAGGCACAGTTATTTCCACCAATCTTGTTCATCAAATTAAATAATGTAGAGAAAATAGTAAAGGCAAAAGATTATTTCTTCTAACCCTAACCTCTCTTAAATAGAGATTAGTAGGATATTACAAAATAGGTATTAGATAAAATCATATCTAATCACATCTCATAATATCTCAATAATATCTCATAATCTCTCCTAAATCTAAATACCAATAATATCTAAACTCTCCCTCAAGTTAGAACATACATACTATGTCACGCCCCGGGTCCACGGGCCCATTGGCGCGTGCAAGCCGTGGGACCCACCGAGAGCAACTCAATGTTAGCTTAAATTCACCGTCAAAATGCTAGTACTAGTTGTTCTTGAACCTTGGGCTTTTCTCTATTTAAACCATTAACATTTCTTCACACTAGTCCATGTGAGACTAATGTGAGGATGTCACAATCAGCCCACCTTACAAAGACGACATCCTCATCGTCACGACATGACAATTGGCACATCCTAGTATCGCTATCAAGCGATGTGGACTCTAGAGGTGGCTTCTACGGGCTCTAGAGGTGGCTCCCACTATATCCATGTGGTGTAGCACTTAGCCCCGTATAGTACTTAGCTCCACACTTTCGGCTAAAAACGGCTCTGATACCATTTCTCATCCCCCGGGCCCACGGGCCCGTTGGCGCGTGCAAGCCATGGGACCCACCGAGCAACTCAATGTTAGCTTAAATCCACCGCCAAAATACTAGCACTAGTTTTTGGACCTTAGACTTTATCTATTTAAACCATTAACATTTCTTCACACTAGTCAATGTGGGGCTAAAGTGGGGGTGTCACATACTACATGCCCAGCTTGTTACAAATAGGAACAAAGTAGTTAGTTGTAAGAGCTTCATAATGTCATTTTTATCCAGAATATTTGAAGACGTCAACAATCAGAAAAGCAGTCACAGCTAATAGAAACCCTAGGCGAGTTAGCCAGTAGAAACAACATCGGAATCAATTAGACAATTACGTACTTTGCATCCAACCATTGGACGAGGACGGAATGTTTCACAGTGAACAGTACACTAGAGTAACTGTTCATTGATGAACAGTACTGTGGTGAGGGTTTTTCGGGGGTAGGGCTTTTTTATTAGGATTCAATAAAAATTTAGTAAATAAATGATGTAGAAATCAAAAGATATTATCGAAGCCATTGAAGGTGCTTTCGTAGCCGCCGAGGGGGAGGCATGGAGGCAGCAAAACCCCTCGGCGACCCCGAGGGTGAGGAAAAAGAAAGAGGTCTCTCCAAGATCAAGAAGCTCTGATACCATGTATAAAAAATAGAAAAGGTAAAAGATTATTCCATTTATCCCTAAACTCTCTTAAATTGCGATTAGGAGGATATTACAAAATAGGTATTAGATAAAATCATATCCAATCACATCTCATAATATCTCAATAACATCTCATAATATCTCCTAAATCTAAATACTAATATTATCTAACAAATAACATAATGTATCCCTGAGCCAAATAATAAATATCCACAAGCATTGCAATACTTAATAACCCAGTCTTTCTAGGATTCTATAGTCATTAATATAGATACTTCTCTGCATAGACAGAAAAATTCTAGTAACTGGATATGAAGTTAATCATGGCCTATCTCATAAAAGTAGTAGTATTAACCACAGATAATGGCTACACTAGATCCTATGCCAAGCTAGCTAAGAATAATGCTAATTATACTCTTTTCTAAACTACTCGCACATTACAAGAGAGAGTGAATACGGGCTCCTTTAATGAGTCATCAATTTTGAAAATATTGACGATTTTTTTTAGTGTGGAAGTAGTTTGGGGGGAGTAGTCTAGTTATCATTGCTCATGAGCTTAATATATGTTTCTATCCTTAGTTTCTTGGTTTCATCATTGATGCTAATATTTAGAGTAGTAATCACATGTTCTTATCCTTAGCTTAAAAACGTTGTCCGTGTCATCTCTGAAAATTTGAGGCATGACACAGACTGATCTCCAAATAAGCCAAAAGGTAAATTGCACATAACGTCATCTTCTATACATTCAATAGCACTTACCATTTGTCAACTAATTTAACTAACATTTATCACCCCTCAATACATGGAGAAGAGGGGGATTATCTACAATTATCCTTCTTAAAATGTCAAATCCAGGGGTACTAAATGCTAATAACAAGTTGAGAGATTATACGTGCAATTAAAGGTATAGATAAGGAGCTCAATGCAATTTGCCTCTAATCTAATTCTGATGTAAAAGCCTTCATCCAAAATTTTGAGTCGCCCATGCAATATGATATTTGGTATTAATACAGTCAAACTTCAAACCAAACTGTTTCAAAATAATAAGTCTATATTAATATTTGGAAAGAAAAAACTGGACGCATGCATCAAGTAAAGAGCACACCATGATTCACGTCACCTTTCACCTAATTTGAGCAGCATCCACCTTTCTTGACTGCAGACACATCATCTTTAATATTTATTTTCTCTCCTTTACTGGGAACAGCAGATGCTGCATCATCATTAGCCTCAATTGCCTTCTTGTTCACAACCCTGTAGATCTGAGTCAAGATCTCTGCAAATGCATTTTCTACATTTGTTGATTCCAGTGCCGATGTCTCCATAAAATATAGAGACTCTGACTCCGCAAAAGATTTCCCATCTTCAGTTGAAACAGCGATAAGATGCCTAAGATCACTTTTGTTTCCAATAAGCATAACGACAATGTTAGGGTCTGTGTGGTTTCTTAATTCTTTGAGCCAGCGCTCAACATTCTCGAATGTAGCATGTCTTGTTACGTCATAGACAAGCAATGCACCCACAGCTCCTCGATAGTAAGCACTCGTGATGGCACGGTACCTGATTTTAATAGGGAAAGTTAGAGCAGTGCAGTAAGGAGACGCGTTTGGCAATCTGAGAGTGGAGTTGATTGAGATTGTGAGAGTAGTTTTTTCTTGAAAGTGTGCAAGCGTGCGTCCACATAAGCAATATTAGGAAGTCTGTGTATGGAAGTTGATGTGTGAAACTAAGAAGAAAAGTGATATGGCACTATTTATTCTAGAATTAAATACCCTTTTGCACTTTCAACAATAAAAAGTAGTTAGGTTTTGAAATCTCACTATTATAGCACTCCATTCCTATCTCTCTCTCCTCCTCTCTCAATTCTTTTTGCTTTCAATTCTCACCTCGCCCTATTCTGAGATGAATTTAAAGTTGTAAGATATCCTGAGTGGCGAAAATCACTCGCGCACTTTCAAGTGTTAGTTTCACCTAAACAAACACCTAAAGCAGAAGAAAGTGCTTCGTCACACTTTTATGCTCGCTCCTCAAAACAAACACCCCTAACTCCTAAGAAGGTTATAACATGTTGCGAACAAGATACAAGATACTGAATAAGAACATCTGTAGAAGTGATATAGTCCAGTTTGTGTTGGATAGACACGAGGTGTTATTTTATTGATGTTTATCTTTCACATTTCTGCAAGTCCATGCCTAATTTTAACGCTCACTTCTGCCAGTCCATGCCTAGTTTTAAAGCTGCAAGTAGGAAGAATGGGATAACATCTGATCTTGGGAGGCAACAATTAACACAATCTCTCATCTGATTTTTAACAGAAAAATAAATGTTTCGCTCATAACAAGTTAATCAAAATCGGATAGATTCAACTAAATTAACTCGCTATTACATTATAGCAAATTACACAACTCATAGTATGACACAAATGTCAGGCACACTAGTAACTCTAGATTCCATGATTTATTATCCACCAACCACTGTTCTTAAGACAAATTACCTACTTGAGGTCGTAGTTATCAACACATATAAAGACTACATACTCATTTAGTCTACAACTCCAGATGCAGGAGATACCTATGCATCATTGCAAATATTCCAATTACCAAGTCGGATGCTATGCTTCCTCTATAAACCAATTGATGTAGTATTAGCAAGAATGTTTACAAGAGTCCACAGAGAATCAGAATAAGAGGTGATTGAGAACAAAAATGGAAGTGAACCAGGTGATCACATAAGAGTTAATGTCACACCTCGGGCCTATGAGCCCATTAACGCGATATAAGTTGTGGGCCCCACTGAGTGTAACACGTAGTTGGCTCAATCCACTGTCAAAATTGACTAGGCAATTTACACGTGAATCCCTTCACTTACTATATAAGACCATTCAACTCTCTGCAAATATTTGATGTGGGAATAAACATATTGGTGTATCACAATCACCCCACTTTATATATGTAACGTTCTCATCACAACATGACAACGGTCCATACCAATATCTCCATCAGCTCACTCACGATTTACTTCGACACTTCCGACCAGCTAACTACTTTGATACTATTTGTCATACCTAGACCTACGAGCTCGTTAGTGTGATATAAGCCCTGGGACCCACTGAATACAACATGTAGTTTGGCTCCATACACATTAAAAAATGGTCAACTATTGTTATACTTAGCTCCCTAGGCTTACTATTTAAACCCATCAATATGTCCCACACAACCAATGTGGGACTATCAGTGGGGTCTCACAATGAAAATAACTAGTGAGAAATGCACTAACCTCTTAACCACCTTTGAGTCTCGTAAGTTAATCCCATTTGATATCAACAAGGTCTTATTAGTATAAAATTATAAGGTTGATACCATTTCAATTTAGACTTATACTATAGTTTATCACCACATAATCCTAGGTCCAAACAGGGTCAAATAGCGTTAAGACCCATTTATAAAGGTTCGCATAGATTTATTACTAATTTTAGAGAATGATTATAATTTTTGTAACGTTTCTTTAATGTTTTTGGACCTTGTAAAAGTTTAGGTCAAGTTCAAGGGTCTATACATAATCAAGGTTATCGACAGCGAATAGCGTCACGTAGCGGTGAGGCATGGCTAAGGTTATTTGTGGCAATTACTACTGAATAGCAGTAAAAAGTGCGAAGTCAAATAGCGTTCTAATTTAGATGTGTGTAAATATTCAAAAGAATAAGAAAAACCTAGAAAATCTAAAAGTGTATATTTAATGATTTAAAAAGATACTAAAGATGAAATAGACGTGTAACCATCACAAATTATCGAAGATGATTAGAGGAGAAGTGAAAGAGTCTTCTTCTTCGAGAAGATAAGCAGTAAGAGGACTGCAATAGGAGCTCATTGTAAGAAGAGGTGAGAGAAAGTGCTAAGGGAGGTCCCAAATGCTATAGGAGGCGGCGGGAATACGCTGGAAATCGCGGGAGGTGGTGGGATGCAGAGATTGCAGGTTAGGTTTAAATTTTTAAAAAATAAACCTTAAACTTCTTTTAAATAGCGATAAAAAAGCAGCTTTCCCTCACGGTAGCTCGCTATGCGAGCGGAGAGTGTATATTTCGCAATATGTCACCGCTATTGGGCGATGGCTTAGCGGGAAGGAACGCTAACGTTATTAGGGCAGCTATTCCGGCACTATTTACCGCTATTTGTAACAGTGTACATAATTATCCCTTTCTCTTTTCAATCCTAATTTCTTCTATTTGGCACGTTCATGATTTCTACAAACTTCGAGAGTTTATGTGCAATTATCCTTTTCTCTTTAGTAATTTATGCTTTATTCTATTTGGACCTTTCTACAAATTATAGAAATAAAATAAGGGTTTATACGTAATTATCCACGCCTATTTAAAATCCTAGCTTTATTTGGACATGTTCATTGTCCTTGAGAATATCAGGGGGCTAAGGAAATTTTCCTATTTAAAATCTACTCTCTTCTACTTAGGTTGGGCTCTTAAGAAAAATTTTGTGAGCCGAGTTTTCCTCCTCTCTGGTACTTGTCTCTTCTTCCTTTATTTTTTTCGCTTTCTTTTTTTTTATTTTTGGCTTTAGCCTAAGAGGCTGGCCACCAGCTTCTTTTGCGGTAGCCAGGGATGACCAAAGGACAACAAGGATTCGTCGGTGGCTAGATCTTCACCGGATTTTTTTTTTCAATTCAAGAAAATATTATTCTAGAATCAAATAACAAAATCAAAACCTCATCATCATCGTACTCATATAAGAGATGCTTAACTGGGCAGAAAAAGATTTACACTTTTAGGGTTAGGCTGGAGTGTTAATTCAAACTTCCTTTCTTTCTCATCTTTTCCTTACTCTAACTTAATATAAACCTAGATAAATATTAGACAGGTTTATTATTTTTTTCCCCTTTATTTTTCTTCGGTTTCATGCAATCCTCCGCATATAGAGATGCCAGGCATCTCCTCTAATGACTAAAGGCCATAATACTTGCTAAGTGATAAGCATGTTAAATGGTTGAAATGTTGCACGAGACCCCTTATCAATTAATGATTTGCATACAATTCTTTTTCGGACAAAATAAAACTAATCATTTTTTATTGGGGTTACTACACTAATTTGAAGCGATATTAAGCCATAGGACTCACTGAGTGCAACAAGTAGTCTGGCTCAATCCACTGCCGAAATTGATTAGTCAATGTTGCACTTAAATCCCTTAATAGAGAAACATATTCAGCTCTTTGTGAATATCCGATGTAGGATAAAGCACATTGGGGTATCACAATTACCGTATCTTATATACGTGACGTCCTCGTCGCGAGATGACAATGGTCTATCCCAATATCCCTCTTAGACGATGTGAATTCTAGAGATGACTTTACAGATTCTAAAGGTGGCTCCCATCACACTAACAAGGTATAGCATTTACTCTCGAATAACACTCAGTTCCATGCTTCCAATTAGATAATTATTGGATATGCGAAAGTACGACGGAAAAATCACTTCAAAAAGAATGCTATCTGGAAGACTAGAAATTCTCTATGAAATTGAACCTCTTAAATCAAGTCCCTCCAACCATTACATCAAAATTCTGAAGTTATGATGAGGATCAAAGATTATATTTTACATTAATTCTAATAGAACACTCTTAGGTTGAGCCCCCATTTTATGGGTCGAAACTTGGACTCACGCAGCGATGCCAATCTTTAGAAAATCCGCTTTAAATTTATGGTTGGCGAGATTTTAACCTGGGTTGCTCTTACACCAACTTACATTAAATCCCTCTAATCATTACACTAAAACTCTAAAACAATGGTGAGGATCAATGATTATAGTTTTATATTAATTCTAATAGAACCAAAGAAAAACAAAGAAAAAAATCAAACACCTACCTGATACTATCCTACATGTTTGTTGGAGAATTAGTTAGAGTAAGGAAGAGAAGGAGCTCAAATCTATCTATATACTAAAACAAAACCCTAGATGACAATTGGCACAATTTTAAACATTTAACTCTCGATTTTTCACATATTAACCGTAGTAAACCTCTTTCTACTCATTTAAGTGACACGTGATCCCTCTGAATCCTCCCTTCATCTGTTTTTGTTGACTATCCACATTTGGGGGGGGGGGGATATTGACTTTTCGCATTATCCACTCTTACATATCAATCGGTTAAAATTCCATTTTCATGTAATTACACCAAAATATCTATATCAAAATGCCAATTCTCTAAGCCAATCTAATTATAGTATCTCTTACGCAATGCCTTCCTAATTTCTATTTTCTATAGACCTTCCATCTTAGTCAAACGTCCCACAAATGTCTGATATTTTTTCAGTGCAATAGACTATGTAGAAGGTCCTCAAAGTAAGTGATAACTTCAAAAATGGCTATGCAAATCATCTTCATGTACCAATTCTGGGGTTATGGGATTAGGTATGACCATTCCATGAACCACTGTAACTTATTGTAGTTTTGTTACTTCCTTTTTCTTTACTTCATTGCTTATGATTCAATTAACAAGTTGTCTCATCATGTTAGTCTCTTTATTTACTAAATTGTATTTGATTTCCACTAGG